TTAGTACAACTCCCACCATCAATCACCAAGGAGAGTAACTTTCCATCCACCATGCACCTCGTATGAAACAAGTTATCTCTTTGCTCAAGGTCTTCCTTGGGTTGTACGCTTAAGATCCTCCTTGTAATAAGCAAACTTCCAGGAAGTGCTTCCATTTCGATTGATTCATCGACCTCCGAATCCGATGTATCCTTTGCGCGCTCCTCCTCATCGGAATCTGAAACATACTCCCATTCTCTAGCATGATGACAGCTCTTCGATTAGGGCATTGGTTGGCCATATGCCTTCTTCCAGGATACTTGAAGAATTGAATGCTTCCACTAGAGCCTGCGGGCTTGTCTCTTGGTGCTTCGACCTTGGCTGCCGGTTTTGGTGCTTCTGGATTCGTTATGACTAGCCTAGGGTTTGAAGTCGAAGGCGCTCCTGGCCTTGGTGCAACTTGAGGTGCCACTAATATTCTCCCAATGTTGCTACGTTGTTTTTTCTCCACTTTGGCATCCATTGCAACCAAGTCATACAAATCCGCATAGGGAATTTCCACCACGTTCCTGATTACTCGATATATACCATATAGGAATCGTGCAATCGTGGCATCACGATCCTCCTCTAGATCAGCTCGAATCATGAGCATCTCCATCTCTCTATTATAATCTTCCACACTCTTGATGCCTTGTCGTAGAAGTTGTAGGGCTTGATTCATCTCCCTACGATGAGAGCTAGGGACAATAAGATCTCGCATAACGGTTCTCATCTCTTCCCACGTCTCAATGGGAGGCTGCATGTTCTTCCTCCTTTTTGTGCTGACTTGATCCCACCATATGATCGCATAGTCCATAAATTCGAGGGCTGCCACTTGCACTTTCTTCTTTCGGAGTAGTTGTTGTAGTCAAAGATCAATTCCATCTTTCATTCCCAATCTAGGTAAGCCTCGGGATTAGCATAGCCTCAAAATGATGGAATGTTTACCTTGATGTTCTTTCAATCATCATCTTCATCTCGAGGGTAAACCTCTTCATCCTCGTACTCGGCCTCCTCATCAATCACTCGAGGTTGGCCTCGTCTTGCTTGTGGACCTCCCAAAGGATGATGTCATCTAATATTCTCATACAAAGGCCGCTGCAAAAGCCTCCTTTCTCCTTGTTCTTCTTCTTCTCTCTTATTCCTCTCGACATTAGAATTTGGTGGTGCTTCTTGGGAAGGAGCTTGAGGGACCGGTAACCTTGCCTCGATAGTTGCAAACCATGCATCCATGTTGACAGCTTGAGTAGTTAGGGTTTGCTGAATTGCCTACAATTGTGCCATCATTGCCTTCATTGCGTCATCCATTCTAGCAGCACAAGATAGTATTTCTTGCGATGAAAACCAACAAGAACTTCTTCAAGATTAGTTCAAGAACATGTAATGCACTTCAAGAACCCTCTTTTTATCCGTGGGTTTGAATCGGGCTCTGATGCCACTTGATGTGACCAAACTATGCGCCTTCCTTCTTTTTATGGGATTTTCGAAGCTTTTCTCCAACTAAAATGAAACTTGAACAAAAGATAAAGATGGAACACGATCAAACGGATTCCACTCGTGGGAAAGGCCAATCGGTGTGCGAACCAATCAAACAAACTACAACTTGTGAATGAGACCAATAGCTATGTGGTAGAAGTTCGCCACAACTAGACGCGTTCTCTAGTTGATAAGAGACAAGTGAAACTCATGGAGACTCTCGACAGAAGCTTTCACGAAAAAACTAGTTCGTATGAACTTGAATCTTGAAAGTTGATTGATTGAAAAATTGATGAATTACAAGCTAGAACTCGTCCCCATTTATAGGCTATCTAAAACAAATCCAAAACAAACAAAGAAAGGAAAACAAATGCCAAAATCCTACAAGTAAAAAGAAAACAAAACCTTAAAGGAAAATGAAACAAGTTTGACTCATTCAACTGTAGAATCTAGCCTTCAAATCTATCCCCCCCTTGTGTTCACACTTGAAATTCCTTTCAAACTTGTATTCCTTCACAAATTGTGTTCACACCATGGGGAATTCCTTCCTTCTGGGCCGAATTCTTCACTCCTCCTTCCAAGCCCACCTTCTCTTGATTCTGGTCCACAAATTGTAGTAATGTGATATGCTTTCCTCGATGCAATTCCATATCCATCAAGAACGATCCCATTTGATCCTTGTATCGTTGTATTCGGACCTTAATCTTTGCACCACGACAATTATATATTATGCCAATCAACTTCACATCAACAAACTCGTAGCCCTTGCTTGCAGAGCCCTTTTCTTCCACCTTGAATGCTCCCAACTCTCTTTGAACCTCTTAAATTGTCTCTTGACCTAGGGTCCATGTAGAGATATAATTTGAACTAGAGTGACATTATGTGGGGTGAGCGTGGTTGCATCAAAGATAGAATTTCTGGTTTTAGAGATAGAGAAGAGAGAGAATTTGAAGGAAGGAGAAGAGGAGCAAAAGCTAGAAGAGAGGAGCCACCTTCCTCAACGTCAAGTCTTCTTCCATATCTTCTATTTATTTTCTTCGCTCATTTATGGAGTAGTCCTCTAAGGTACTAGAGGTTCTAAACCCAAAACCCTTGTTTTAAGGTTATTATGTATGTATGTATGTATGTATGTATGTATGTATGTATGTATGTATGTATGTATGTATGTATGTATGTATGTATGTATGTATGTATGTATGTATGTATGTATGTATGTATGTATGTATGTATGTATGTATGGATGGATGGATGGATGGATGGATATTTTAGGGTTTTAATGAATGAATGTGTTGATCTAGCTGAATTGAATGTTATTCTATCTTTGATTGTGTTTGGCTAAGTCGCCTTAATCTTCTCTACTAGCCTATTTGAGCTTCTACATTGGGTATGGAATTTAGGGGTTAGACGGGTATAGCCATCAAGCAAATTAAGGTTAGATGTATAAATAGGATCCTTTGGTGGTTGAGGCGATCGAACCCCTTTCTTAGGAATGCCTTCCTAGTTAGAACCCAGGATAAACCTCGGTGTGGACGGTGGATATTACTCATTAAGAGGAGCTATGAGCTTAATACACCAGATACGATAGCCTAGATCGAGGTGACTTAAATGGGTTTAGGGGGGTCGTATTCGAAGGCGTGTGGATAACCACGAAAGGCCACGAAAAGAGCTCACTCACCACATTCGATAAACCCTAATTATCTAGACATTATATAGTAGTCATAGGCTAGGGTGAGGGATAGTTCCCCGAAGTACCTGCTTTTATCTTTACTTACTCTCTTCACTAGTAGTTCGCTCAAATCCTCCAACATAACCCCTTAAACCGATCGGGTAGATAACAACAACGTGGGAAGTAGGTTATGGTACCAGGATCCGAGTGAATACGACATTGATTGGCACTATACGATAACGCCATTTTAGGTTAAACTTGGCATAGGATGGGGTCATTTTTGACACGTTCTAACCACTGACTATAATCTGCATGAATGAATGTTATCAGCAGGCAACTTATTGCCCTCTACCTTAACCCCCTCTCCATTAGTGCTTAGAAATAGAAACAAACAACTTCATTCTGAACCACAAACTCCAGGCGGCATGGTTGAATAAACTCTCTATTAGTACAGGGACCTCAAATTGTGAACATAGCTTCCATCATCGTCCTGCCTCCAATTACTATACTTTATTTCGAGTTGAAAACTTCAACGATCCATATGGTCAAGAATGTTGGACGCTTTGAAAGGTGCAATAATGAAAATCTGGTCGAGCATATTAAATCTATTTGGAGATATGTAATTATGCATAACATCGAGGTGTAGAGCCAGACGCAATAAGCCTACCCCTCTTTCCTTTCTTCATCTGAGGGAAAGCTAAGAGTTGTCTAAGTCGTCAACAACCAATAACTTTCAGAACGTGGGAGGCACATGTCCAAACTTTCGTAGAAAAGTTCTTCCCTCCATGGTGAACTGACGATCTAAGGGACCAGACTGCCCACTTCCACCAATGCACTTCAGGGGTAGAAGTGTTAGCAGACATCTTTGGCAAAGGTTTTGAGCTAAACGCCACAACGAGCTTTGCAGCACTTCGTGTCTATGGCTGCAAAGTCTCAAAACTGGTCTAGGATGATTGCTCCTATGGATAGTTGAGGCGTTTATCAGGTTGTTATACCAAGTTGCATGGGATCTGTGCGTTGACTTTCTCAATCAAATACCTCGCATCCTGTGGCCCATAGTCAATGTATGATCTCAGATCTTAAATATCGGCCGTCATCTAACATTAAATATAAAGATAATTAATAGAACTTTATTTATAATCAAATCATGAAAATATAAATGATGGGCAAATACAAGGAAACTTTTTCCCCATTTCAAATCATAATATAAAAAAGGTAAAATGAATTCACATAACAATAAATAATGAATTGTTTCATGGGAATGTGGCAGGTATGATTTTAGACTCTATTGCCTCATACCCATATACATATCCGCCCCACAGAGAGTATTTCTTCATATATATATAAAAAAATACATATCAAATTGTAACCTATTAATGAAGAGAAGAGTAATTAAAAAAATAAAGAGTTAAAATATAACCGAGTGATCACCTAAACCAAACCTTAATTTATTTCCCTCTAATTCTCTCTTCGCACATTCATTTCTTTCTCCCCTTTAACAAGATTATGTTAGTTATCTATAGCTTAGAGAATGTGTCGGAGTCCTAGATGAATGATTTGGATAATATTGCACATTATCTTATGAATTAATGGATGCTTTATGATTGAATGCATAAAATTTATATTAAAATGGTTGTATTTTTATTGATTTCATGATTTACTAGGGTTTAGTTAGTTTTATAATAAAAAATTAACATGTCAAATTTTAGATATAATAATATTGAATATATAATAAATATAATAATAATGTTAAAGTACAGGACAAGTATTATCCACTAGTAGCAGAAAACGACAAATATGAAGATGGAGATGCAAAACATTTCCCAATGAGTATCCTATAATAGACTTGAGATTGCCACTTAGTATTTCAAACGAATAGGCAGGACACCAATCATACACAACCGTTGGAAACCATTTTGGTCTAAACTTGAAGTAATACAATCGGCTCCGCTTCAGCTGAATTTCAACACAAATAAGTTATCTTTGCCTACATGCAAAACATGGAGCATCGATCAACGCACACCGCGACCGTTGCGGGGGCATAATGATAGACTCTGGTTCTGGAAGCTACTGATATATGATCTCAGAATTATCTGCCTAGTCAGCTATTACAACTGTGACTTAGTTTGAGTTGCGTGACAATGAGAAAGCACTCAGTCGCCTACTCAACAAAATCCCACCTATCTTTCAATTTTAATATGGACATCTACAATCGCGTTTCAAATGTTTTCCCCAACGGAAAGGCAAGACTGTAATAGTGCGGAGCATCATCAAATCACACAACGGTAAGCAGTCAGGAAGTCGATTAGTCCTCCACTGTAAGTGAGTTCCACCACCTGCCCCTTCTGCAGTCCATAGTATTTGGCAATGGCGTCAGTTTCCAGCATCCTGGGGAGCTGAAGGAACGGAAATCAATTTAGGATCTGAGAAAAGGTTTCGAAGATTGGATGCAGTGCCCTGACCACTACTAACGGGGCCATTTCAAAATCCATGTTTAAAATGAGAAATCAAAGGGTCATTAGAAAGGCTTTAGTATTTCGGTAAGGTGGTAAAGTTGTTATGTTCTTTGCATTTATACGTAATATCATTGTCACAGAAAGCTCATTTTACTGCAGTCACGGGGAAGTCATGTCATCTATCTGAATGGATTCGATACACATACAGAAACACTAAGCAGAGAGTGAGTTACCAGCTTGTCTTCAGCTTTGTACTTCTTCATAAGCATTTGTTTCCGATGAGCTGTGAGTATCTCGAGCGATGGCTGCAGAACATGCTTGCTTACATTTGCAATCAAGTCAGTGATCTGCAAGATGAACAAGAAGTGGATTGGTCAGTTATCATAATCATTTCAACCCAAAATCCATCACTGAGATCATGTTATGCACAGACGTAACAGCATCTATGATCTCATACCAACCAGCCCATTTCGGTTTTTTCTTTTTGCACCTAAGATTTTGATAAACAAGTGATAGTTATCAAGAGAAAAAGGTCAGTAACAGTCAAAGTAGCCAAACATTCAGCACCGGGTGTTGGTAGACTACTGGGTATGAAGAGGGGCTTACTTGATAGACTTCCACCTTGAATGGGAATGTCTCGAGGTGTTTCTTAGCTTGGATGGTGATTTTGGCTTCTAATATCAGTATAAGCCCTGACAAACCTAAACCTTCTCCAAGAATCTGCTTGTAGACATTTCTTACCGCAGCAACCTTCAGCTCAGTCGCCCCCATGAACAGGACAAGAACCTGCGAACCCTTGCAAATTCAATTAGGTGAAAACAACTATCAACCCATCCTAGTTTCTCTTCAATAATTTCCGATTGAAATTCAATTTTGCATAGCGTTTCCAGTAAGCAAGGACTTTGGTGAAGTTGGTTCATCATGTCGTCCCAAACACCCAATAATACAGCATTTTGGTTTTGCTTGTTTCTTCTATTTCTCTACTTACTATTCTATCCCCTGCGGCCTGCTCCGTTTTCTAATGAAACCCTAGTTCCACCGCGTTCATAATCTCGATTAAACAAAAGATGTCTTATTTTCTGATTGAGCAAGAATAATATTTAAAAAGGAAAAACCCTACCTTCTTATGGGTATTCGAGCGGAGAGACGCGGTGATACGGAGGCGTTCCGGCTCCGGTTTCTCGCCGAACTCCGTGCGAAACTCAGCGAGCGAGCGGCTCAACTCGGCGCCGGGGACGTCGTAGCCGCGGTCTTTCAGCATTTCCATGACGGTACGACGTGAGTGGTAGTACCTGAGGCTCTCCGTGCTTCCACCGTCCTGAAGCTCCGTCAGGCACCGGCGATCTCCGTCTCCGCCGATCACCGATACATCGACGATGTTGCCAGTGCTGTTGCTTGCCATTGTGATTCCTGATCTGCGAGGGTCTGACTCTGAGAGGAAACGAGATATTGAGCTCTCGTCTCGTCTCGTCTCGGGTCCGGTCCGTTAGAAAAGAAAAAGGCCAAAGCCTGGTCTGGTCTAAGTCTTACACTCGGAGGTTCCATTCCCTGCGACGCGTGCTGGGAAATGCGTGACCTGATCGAGAAATGTTGTCGACATCAACGGCCCCCATAAGTTTTAATTTGCTTTGAGAATTTCAAATTCCTTGCACTCTCCTTAATTGTAGCTAAGGGTAAATTTATAAGTTCGACTCAGAACTTAAATATCTTCTTACGAGAAAAAAAAAATATTCTTACAAAATCTTGAACTCGAGTCTTTTAAATTGTCAATATCCCTAATCAACTGGACTATAACAATGTTTATGTATTTTTTGAATTAAAGAGAGAAAATACTGAAATATCTCAAAATCATAGGACTATCCACCGCAACAATCAATCATCGAATTAATTAATAACTGTAATTATTTACAAAGTGAATCATCATGATATACCTAGCGTTATGAATCAACTAAGTGAGTTCCTCTAATCACACAATTTTTCACCAAGAATCAAATAGTACATTTTGAGTTTATGTATGTCTTACAACTTTTACATTTATTAGGTTACGTAATTTTGTAGTTTGTAGGAATATAAGAATTGTTTACAAAATTGCTATACAAAATTTTATTTCAAAACATAAAATTTTACATTTTGTGACTAATGGTTTTGTAACGAGACATTTTCAATGCTACAAGTGAATGACCAAAAATCATTGGCTAACATTTTCTCTAATGATTGACAATTATATGCATAGAATTGAAAGACTAAATACCATTGACAAATGAGCAAATTATCATTGGCTAAATTTAACAAACAATGATATGTGTATATACATTGGTAATTCTATGGTACGCTCGATGGATTGAGAGTTATTGCATCTCCGTAATTAAATAAAATTATCTAGACCATAGATTAATCACGTAACTAAACCCTATATAATAATTCTCTAAATCCTAATATAGTGCATATGGTATGTTGTATACATCTTGGCGAATCAAAATCATTGATTATGTTCTTGGTATATGTGATATTAGGGTTTAAGTTCTATAGATTTAGGCTATATGATTTGATTATTTGAAATTTAATCTCCCTTTTCAAATTTTCTTCAATAAGAGGGAAATTAGTAAGGACATTTTTGTCTTCATAATTATCTGTATTTTTTTTATTTATTTACAGAAAAAGATAGACATATTGAGATTTGAACCATGGTCATTTCAAACAAAGTGAAGGTTTAAAATCAATCAGATTATGTAGATTTGTTGTATTTTTTAAAATTAAAAATATATACGAAGCTAGAATATAAAATCACATAACTTTTCAACAGTTAGCTAGCCCAATAATATTTCGTAAGTACTTATTTATGATTAACTGAAAGAATATTTAGATTTAGACTTTGTGGTATTGAGATGTTCATAGAGAGTTTAAAACTGATCCAAGGCCATGGATTGATATTGGTTAGTTGATTGTGATTTTGAGGTTGGTGTATAAAATGTCATGGAAGTACTTTGCAGCAAGTGAAGGAAGTGAAGAGGCAATTGGTCAGGGTAGTGATTGAACCAAAGAGGGTATTGAAAGACATAGAAGCAAAATCGGAGCAGTTGAAGAGAGAGAAGTGGTAGATGATCAGGATATTAATGAAAATGGAGAGGGTATTGAAGGGTATAGAAGTGAACTGGATTAGGTGAAGGCAGAGAATGAGGAGAAGAGCATATTGATGGAATTGAAGATGAGTGTTGGTTTTACGAGCTTATTAAAACTGCCCCGAGGAAGATGAGTTGGCCAAATACAAGAAAGAGGATTGAGGAGTTGGAGATCAAGCTGACAAGAAACTCAATTGAAAGAGAAATTCAGGTTCATGGAGAGAAGGTCCATCAAAGTAACATAAATGGAGTTGCAGAAGGAGGATTAGAAATTGAATTTTTGTTTAAACAATATACGTCGAGAGATTGAAGATGGAGGGAATAGAAAGTTGGTTGTACAACGGAGAGTGGAAACTATTGAATCTTTAGGTGTTATGGTTGTTGCAACTACCACAACCTATCTTTATGTTAACGAGGAATCATTGATTGATTTACTAAAGTTAAGGTCGATTCACTATTCAAACTACTAGAACCTGTAGATAAGAAGTGTCTAATTTTGTGCCTCATTACTTTAATCGAGTCTATTAGTATATTGGATGTAACTCTAATTTTGTCATTTGCTCTCAAGTTTTGATGGTCTCTTTTTAGTTGAGTTGTTAGCATCTGATTTACTTGAATCAACAACTCTTCATTTCTGTTTTTTATAAATTCATTTCTTTTTATTAGTAGCATGTTATTCACAGAGGAGAGCTTTGGACCATTTATGTAGGATTGTGAGGTTTCATTTCAGTTTCAAACTATCTATTGATCGTGTGGGAATTCCAATGAGCTTTTATATTACATATTTCTGGACAATCTATCAACCAATATCATTTTAATGGGTGCTCAATTATCATTATGAAAATGGGATTAATGATACATGTTTATATTCTTAAATGATGAGGGTATTTCCCTGAATGTTCGACCTATATATTCATTCTTTATGTAGCATCTCGATTGATTTTTTTCAATAAACTTAAACGAATTAATAAACTTAAACATAACATAAAATTATAAATATTAAAATATGAATATTTCGACCAACGGGCCGGGTTATAAGCTAGTATATATATAACAACAATTAGATTTTGTGTGTTCAAATGCTTATCATATAATTACCAACGTTTAAAATCTATTAATTATGGTATACACTATCTTAACCAAACCTTCCAAATAACCAAACTAAAATTTGATTAATTGGTTAATCGTGTTTGACTAATATAATATAACAGTTACATTAAATGAGAAAAATCTCATCTCAACCATTATAATTATCTTACAATCATTCGAAATAGCCACCTAACAAAAACATATATCAATGGTTTGAGTAATGAATTGGGTGTATTTGTGTGAATTGTCTTAGTTTTTTACGATTTATCAATGCCCGAAAAAAAAATCCTTCTCTTTAGATTTTCATCCAACATAATGTATTTGCTTTATCAAAATTAGGAACACAAATTGACCCCTACACTCTAAAAAAACAAATATATATAAGAACATTATAAACTTTATTTTTTACGGATAAAAAGGGAGGATCACTATCCAAATTAAAGTATTAAGTATGTGTTGTAAAAATATATTAGATATATGACGACTTGATTAATTGGTTACATTAGTTAGTAGTATCTGAAACCAAACAAAATCACCTAACCAAACATGCTAAAAACATTAACCAAACTAGTTATCCAAATTAACCAAAATGAATTATACGAATATTACCGGTTTTAAATGGTTACCATGGTAACCACTTAGTTTCAACACCCCTAATTAGACTACTTGGTCATTTAGTGTTTTTTTTAGTTCGAAGTAATAGGTCACGGGTTCAAATCCCTATTTGAGTATTTTTGTGACTCTTATTGCATGAGCATGAGCTTCTCTTTTGGCCAGGGTTTAGGTCTAGCACCCAATTTGTTAGCATGGTGCTACAACTAGTTTCAACCAATAGGAAAATTTTATTTTGATCACTTTTGTATTCTTAAAGGGTTGACCATTGTAAATATTGCTTTTTAAATAGATGAGCACTCATGATGCAAGCACGCTAGCCGTAAACAAGATCATTTTCCAAGCATTCCAAGTAGTGCTAAAATAGAAGAAGAAGGAAGTGTTGGGATTGGCCGAGTGTGGAAACAACTTCAAGGTACATACTTTCGAAGCTTACTCGTTCATATTGGGGTTCATTCGAGGGAAGCTTGGAGTGGGAGGTGAGAGTACAAGTCTTGATGTAGATTGTAAAGGCGTTGGATGAGAAGATTTAAGCTTCGTGGACACCAAACAAGCAGTCTGAAGTTAATACGGTGCTCAAGAAAATCCTTGGTCAGGTCATCCAATTCCCCGACCGGGGAATAGAACCACAAAACCGGGGATTGGGAGTAGACGACGCCTCGACCAAAAAGGATTAAATCCCCGATCGGGGATCAAGAAGAAGCGACAGGAGATTGGAAATAGGAGAACCCCTGACCAAGAAGGATGCATTTCCTAATTGGGGAACAGAAGATGAGCAACCGGGGAATAGCCTCTAACGAGTGAAAATTGCATTTTTTAATTAGGATTCTTCTCATTTTTTTTAATTTTTTTCCCTAGCCTACATAAAGGCTTAAACTCGAGTTTTACAAGAGATTAGTTTTATAATTAAAATTTGCCCTAGTTCATCAAGTTTATGGCTTATGAATTTCTCTCTCGTCGTTGGTTGACTCCAATTGAGTTGGGTGTGTCTCTGTATCAATCAACCATCCATCTTGATTGTGGTCGAACTTCTACCCTATATTGATAGAGCCTTCTCCTAGGTGTGAGATTGCACTTCAATTCCAGTTTATCCCTATCTTTAATACTTGTTCTTGGTTGAGCGACTTTGATTACTGCGGGTACCAATTCCATGCTAGTATCAACTCAAGTATCATGAAATAGACCACAAATCACAGACCAGAAACACAACAAACCGCACCACAAATAACATAAAGTAGACCAGAACATCACCACACAACTAAATTCATAAAGTGGACCAAAACCTCATAAAGCATATCACAAGTTCCATGAAGCACACTAGAAATCTCATAAAGCATACCACAAGTTCCTTGAAACAGACCATAAACCTCATAAAGCATACCACAAGTTCCTTGAAGCATACCATAAACCTATAAAGCATACAAGTTCTCTGGAGCAGACCAGTCACCTCTCATAAAGCAGACGAAAAGTTCATTGAGGCAAACAAAAATGTTAACCTCATCAAGCTTACCATCAGTTCCATGAAGCATACCAGAAATATCATAAAGTAGACCACAAGTTCCCTAAATTAGACTAGATATATGTACAACTACACTAGAATTCTCATGAAGCATACCGAAAAGACGAGAAACCACATAAGAAACCTCACGAAGCAAATAAAAAATATTATAGAGGATGACAAGCAATAATTTTTTTTATAATGATGGAATCATTTTTAAAAATGGCAACAAAAAAAAATTCAAAGTAAGTGGCTGGTGTTTTTACACAGGGAGAAGTGGAGGGATGAGAGATTGAATCTAGGGGGCAGAAAAAATAGAGGAGAAAAGGGGTGGGTAGCTACTATGTATAATAGTGATCATAATAATTATGTTATTAATGAGTGTCAACACCCTATATGGTATCCTCTCTTTAGTGTCTTATTGTTTTATGGGGTTGTTTGAAATAATTTTTTAAACATTTTTATTTTTATGCCAGAGTGTGATTATTTGATGAGGTTTTATTGAAATATTTATTTTTAATATTTTTAATTTAATGGAAGATTTTTTTTATTTGACATATATTTTCACAAGATTGTTTGGCGGCATGATTTAATTTTTACCATAATTTGAATTACTGAATGTAAATTTATTTATCCATGTTGAAAATTAAAAAATGGATGAAATGCCATATTTTAGCTATACTTTCCCCTTTTAATAAAATTTGTAATGATATTATATGGTAAATAACCAATAAATTTTAGGCGTTTCTATGATATGAAATGTAATATGAACTTTCAATTTTGAAAATTATCTAAAGTAATTTTCTGGATATAAATAGATTATGTATTTAATTATCATTAACAATATTATGGCGAAAGATTTTCATCATATTTGCCCCCAAAACTTGAATTTAGAAATGAAGCTGCTAACGGGTTTGAGTTTAGTATCTCAGCTTTACAAGAGTTCAATTAGCATATGCTACTTTTTATACACTAGTTGCACTGACAAGGCCCAACAAACTTGCATAGTGAAATGCAAACATCATCATATACTGAATACTGCTAAAGATTTGACATTTCAGGAAGTCTTCCCTCTTTAGTTTCGGGGAGAATGTATTCTTGCAGTTGTCTACCTAATTAACTGATTGCCCACTTCTGCCACATGAAAGATTCCTTACAAGTTTTTTGTGTGATAAACCAGGTTCATATATTCGCCTCAGGGTCTTCGGTTGTCTTGTTTACGCAAAATATCAACAATGTTTTCTCCATAACTTCACGTAACGAGGGGCAAGCTAGTGTGTTTCTTGGCCAATGCGGCTAATAAGAAAGGCTATGTTCATTATGATTTAACCTCACAAAAACTCTTTGTAAGTTGCAATGTTGTCTTTCATGAGACACACTTCTCGCTCCATAGCCCTAACCTAAGTGAGTATCATTGGAAATTTGGAATCTAAGTGAAATGTTTGATGGCTCATTCACTTCAGATCCCACCATAGTCGTTGGTGATGGCATGGCAACGGCTCCCCTCATTGAAAAGTCATCACCTGAGTTTCACCTTCTCCTAGTTCTCTTCAATAAGCAACATACACATCAATTGTATCAATATTGAGTCTCGCCTCGTCGGAGAACAAAACACACCTCTCTTCTCCTACTGTTGAGCTCGCTCTTAGATGTGGTCTATGTCAACATCATCGTCTGAATCCCATCAATGCCTTTGTCACTAAATGAGGCATACAAGCAACTCGCCTCCAATGTATGGTACCCTCTCTCTCATTATGTCTCGTATGGGAAGGTCACAACAGTTTTCGAGATTTCCTTGTAGCAATCACTCACACTGATAAGACTCAAACTAGGCAGTAAGCTTTTCGAGAAGCCTGTTGAATTCGTAGACTATCACAATATTTTTTTCTCAGTTGCTAAACTCGTCATAGTCTGTTCTCTTCTTGCAGTAGCAGTCCAATTTGGTTGGTGTCTTCAACAGTTAGATGTCAACAAGGTGTTTCTTCATGGTGACTTCTATGAAGGTTTTTATATGTGTCATCCTCCTGGATTTTAGCAACCTGGGGGTTCCCTTGTATGTCATCTACACAAGCCCATATACGGTCAAGCTTCTTGCAATTGGTACCACAAGTTCACCACTACTTTGTGTGAATCTGGGCTTCGATCTTCTCTGGTTGACCACCCTCTTTTCGTCTATCATTATGGAAAAACTTTTGTCACTCTTTTGATCTACATTGAAGATGTTCTATGGTCGGGTAATGACTTGACTTTTATTGATCGGGTCAAGAGCTTCTCGAAAAGCGGTTTAGCATCAAAGATTTGAGATCTCTTTACTATTTTGTAGGCCTTGAGGTTGCTCATTCTCCTCGTGTGGTGATTCCTTGCCAACAAAAATACACACTTGATATTCTGAAGAGGCAGGGGTGTAGGGTGCGCATCCTAGCTCCTTACTCGTGGAACAAAATCACCAGCTTACTCATCCCTTAGTTTCTGAAGCCTTAGTTGATAGTTCTTCTTATTGGCGACATGTGGGACATCTTAAGAATCTGACGATCACATGTCCTGATATCGCCTATCGCTTTAATATTCTCTGTCAGTTTGATAATGCACTGATTCAAGCCCACCTTGGTGTTGCGACGTGCATACTCCGTTATCTTAGGTCTTTCCCAGACCAGGGCTTGACATTTTTGACCACAGACTCACTTTACCTAGTGGCATAGTGTGATGCCAACTGCGGTGGCTGTTAACCACTCGTCACTTTACTGCTAGTTTGTACATTAGTCTCGACTAAGCTCCCGTCTACTGACGCACTAAGAAATAGAAAGTTGTTGCTCATTCGTCTGCTGAGGTCGAGTATGATGCCATGGGAAGCATGACCACTGAGCTTCTTTGACTTCGTTGGTTATTGACTGAGTAGAGCTTCTTTGACTTCGTTGGTTATTGACTGAGTTAGGTGTTACTCAGTCCAGCCCTACCCACTCTACTGTGATGACTAGGCGGCCCTTCATATTGGTGCCAAACATATCTTCCATGAGCGTACTAAGCACGTAGAAATGGATTGCTATTACGTTCGTGAACGAGTCATTTCTTGCGGCATTGCTCCTCGCAAGATCAGTTCTGAATTTTTGTTGGCAGATCTTTTCACTAATGGATTGGGTATTATTACTTTCATTCTTTGTTATCCAAGCTAAACATTTGTGGTCTCCGCCGTTCAACTTGCGGAAGCGTATTGGACCACGATAACTCTCTGCCGTCAGTGAGCATGGTCATGCATAGCTCATGTCCGAATGTGAATAGGAAGGCTTTAATAGGCGAATGTGAAACCTAGTTTATATGTTAAACGTATATCAAAGTTTTCGAAATGGTTTAGCCCGTTGTCCCGATCAAGCAAGTGGGTTGTAGATTAATGGACCGTTCGCTTTAGCCCGGATATACACCAAAATAACATGTTGTACTTTGATCCAACATATAGTGAAAATTAACTCTTATATAACATCAACGTTCCAGTGTTCAGCTTAGAATTCCAAATATTGAATTAGGTGAAAAGAAAAACCAGAAAATAGACAAACCAAAAGAAAAAAGACGTTAATTGACCCCCAATCCGATACCTTGCCGTCGGTTGACCCGACGAGTGTGTACGACCATTTTTCTCACTGGGTCAGGATTAAAGCGGGCTAACCGGCGGGTTGACAACCTTGACATATATATATTTATTGATGTAAGATCTTTTGATCATGTAACGTAATAAAAACATATCTCCTGGACGTAGATCTCACATACAATGAGCCCGAACCACATTAAACAACGTGTCAAATGACTGTCATTTTTCAACCAGCTTTAAGAATGTGCATCTTCCTATCAAGTTTTTTTCCCCGGCCAAATTCCTTACTATTTGTGATGCCTAATGCTCTGGATCTAAGATTCATAGATTTTGGGATCTGAAATTCTGAATATCTGAACCGCAACTTGGGTAACGCAGAACAAACCAGATAGAACCATAATGGAGAAATAGATTTCAGCGAGCACAAACTTTATTGCAAGTCCTCAATTGAAAAGCGCATACAATTGGGATTGAAGGTATAGTGTTGATGATACAGTACTATTCCCCCTTCCATCGAACAGATTGGCCTACGCTGCCACTACCAGTGCAGAACATGCTAGGCAGGGCGAGCCATGAAAGATGGATCGATCATCAACAAATAGATTTCACCCAAAAGACAAACTTTATCATTGAAAGTTCCAAATCTTGGAAGACGGTGCTGACTGTAGGCAGGCTTCAACTGGTTTGGTCCCTTGTAATCAATGTGAGCAGCAAGTCCTTGTAGTTGCCATTGGTTGCCTCTTCAACCCTGTGCGCGAGAGTAGCCCCGTACAAGTTGTTGAATGTTGTTTCAGTCTCCTTCATATCCAGGTCGGCACGGGTCACAATCACTCGAGTTAGACCCTTCTTTGCGTTCTCTTCTGCGCCATTTTTCAGAGCCTCATCCACTACCTGCAGAGAATTAAGTAGATAGACGTAGAAGATGATGATTGTGTCTGCATCAACAATCAGACAAGCAAGGAATTCGGAACTTGCCTTGCTGAAGTAGACATGAGGCGTGCACAAGCATTCAACCGTCTCTTTCAATATCAGTTCCGCTGCTTGTAGATCCTGCGCAGAATAGGGGAGGTGGGTTGCGCGCATTATTAATTATTCATCAGATTTGCAGATACCAAACTGAAGAAGTAGTAGCTAGTAAGTAATCTACGGATCGAGCGTGCGTACATCGCGGATACTTTTGGCAGCCACTTCCTTGTAGTGCTCGTAAATGGCGTGGATGTGGGGCTTGCTTCTGGTGGATAGTATTCTTATCACGTCTTCATCCTCAACAGGGTTCTTGTCGTTGCCTTCATTCCTGAGTGCATGACACAGCAACTTGGCTTCTGATTTTACAGTTTCGGTGTTCACTTTCGGGCCTTCATATCTGTAAGCACTCACAAGTCCCACCAACAGCTGTTTGACATCCACAAAACATGAGATTTCCGAACCAGAAGCGAGCGAGCAAGTGCAGGGAGGGAGAGAGGTGGTACCTTGCGCTCGGGGCGGCCATGGAAGCGGGTAACAACATCTTCTTCAATGGAGCGGTCGTAGAGGGAATGGTAAGCCGTCCTAGCTCCGAGGAGATCCTCTGAAGATCTGGTACACGCAATCTCGACGATGACGGCGTAGGATTTGGGACCCTCGATGAGTGACTCCTTCATCAAGCGCGCATCCCGTTCCCACGGATGCATTGCCCACAGCACAATGGCTTCCTGATGTGATTTCACACACACAAACACACACACAATTGATTACCGTCGTCCTCTGCCAAAACAGAACAAAACAACACAAAACAGTCAAAGAAAGAAACTCGTTTACATTGAAGCGGAGGAACTCGGCCTTGAGAAGCGGGATTCGGGAGTCGATCCAGCGCTCGAAGGAACGCTCGTCCTCCTGGAACAACTGGGGCACTCCTTTCCTGAAAGACTTGCGGTGCTCAGGAGGTGATCTTCCCAGGATTGATATCAGGGATCGTTCGTCAACACCGATGCCTGCAATTGCACAAACACACACCCAGTCATTATACATTGTAACAACACAGCTAGGCTAGCGTTCTGGGTTGGGATCGTTCATTTGGATTCGATCTCATCAGATCATCCAAGTGTGAAAAACAAAATCTCGGAGAATTAATTCGATCGGAGGAACTAAATATATATTCTTCTTCTCATTTTCCCGGGAAGGAAGTAGGGTTAGGGGAATTGTTGGGAGGACCGACCTGACAAGGCCTTGGCCAGAGCTTCCAGCTGAATGGGATCACCCATCTTTTCCTTCTTTCTTCGCTTTCTCTGTTTGGTTTTGGGGAGCCTGGAAGGAGGAGGCTAAATAGAATAGAATAATAAATGGAGGTGCGGGTGACGGCCTGTGGCTCTGCCCAACTTCCATTTGTGTATATATATCTGTAATGCAATTGTTATTGTAGAGGTCGTTTGCTTTTGGTATTTTGGTGTTGGATTTTGGCCCAAAATCCAACATATGTTGGACTTTATAATGAATCCATGTTTGTTAGCATATAATGGATTTTGTTTCAATCTGTGGGGTCCACTAATATTGGATTATTTGGAGCTAAAATCCGTGGGCCCCATGGATTATAAAATCTTACCTCTATAGCTAGGATTTTGGAAGATAGATATAATCCATGATGTTTAATGACCGTGTTACCCCCACTCATTTTGTGTAATCCAATTTTGCCCTCGGTCATTATTATCTCTACTGAGGACTTTTGTCTACACTCTCATCTCACCAACTTTGTCTCTTCGTTGCCAAGGGATTGCAACACAGCAAAAAGCTCCGGCAACCTTTTCCATCTCTGCCTATCGCCGTTTTGTCTTCCTTTTATATGAAGCTCAACAATTAATTATTTCATGCTTACATCCTCTTTTTTTATAATCCAATCCAAACCCTTGATTTTCCTTTCGACATTATTGGTTTGGGTTGAGAGTTTCAATTTACTTTAATGGCTTCTTGCGTGTATACAATATGACCAAATAGTATGGATGTTGCTGCCATTTTTACATATGCTAATTCTTCATGTATATACAAAAACATTCAAAATACAAGTAAAGTAAAAAGTGGTTCATTAAGGATAAGAAAGTAATTTCCCCCATCAAGCCATAATTCCAACCTACTAAAAGCCATTACCAAATCCTACAAACAAACATGGAAGTTTCAAAATCCAACATAATCAAAATCCAACATAATCTCTCATATTCAAAATTCAAAGTTTTATCATAATCCCTCATTTTCTAAAATCCTAGAAGCAAACGACCCCTAAGTTTTAGGGTCACATAAACCAATTGGGACTTCAAAGACTCAATTTGGCATTTTGCTTCCACATTGGCGTTTATTTTTTAGCAAACCCAACTAGGTCATGCGCAACCCAATTTAGTGTTTGCATATTAAGAAAATAGATTGTGAATATGTTTTTGAGATAGTATTTTGAATAATTCAAAAAATTCAACATTATTGTATAAATTCAAAAAAATACACATCATAGATAATGCGAGATCACAAAGCAATTAATTGTCATATTGGATTCAAAAAACTCATTTGAGATAAATTATAAAAAAAATAAATTGAAACATTCCGGTGGAAGGACGGGCTCAAGCTAGAAGATACTATCAATAAATTGTTGTATAGCTCAGATATTCCGGCCAACGGGCCAAGTAAGTGCCGATTAAAAGCTAGAAGATGCTATCAATAAATTGTTGTATAGCTCAGATATTCCGGCCAAGTAAAAGCTAAGTGAGATTTAAAAAAGTGAATTAAGTGCCACCTTAAGATCCCAGCCACAAGAAAATGCGCTCAGCTCTCCCCCAAACCTCTCCTCTCTTCTTACTCATATGCAAATATGCCAATTAGATCATACCCTCTAATCCAACCATCATACATGATTTTGTAGTAGTAAATAATAGGTGGACTTTGTATTATAACCTATACCGTAAACTATACATTCTTTACCGAGTTCTCTTCTCTAGTTCATAGTCCTTCCCTGTACAGCAACGTAAAGAATCATAAAAATGGGTGAAACAAGAAAGATTATGTATGGGAGCGCTTGGCTCAGCACACCTTCTTCACCTTCATCGTTTGTCGCAGAGTAATTCGTCTTGTCTTGCACAAATTTCTCGAAGTAGTCCTGGTAGCCAGGGTTGTCGAGCGAGAAATTCGACCCTGTAACCTTCATCATTTCCATGGCCTGAAATCGAGTTTAACCATCTTCATCAATTCACATGTTCTGCACTCTAGATTTCATCTCATATTAGTTAGTGCAAAAGAGGGGGCATTTAAAAATATTTGCAAAGTTTGCCTTCACAGAAATGCATTCATTCTCAAAGTTTTGAAGTGAGCATTATTTCCAGTGGTTAGAAAATGGGAGAGATCATTTTTTAAGTCTAGCTAGAAAAAAGAAGAAAAAAGAGTTTGCCGATCAACAAGCAGGTTTCCTTCTACAGCGTTACCTGGAAACTGAACATCAATTGCCTTGCTCTCTTGCTTACTTTAGGATTTGGGTGAGACTGAAGTTTTTCGTACACAGCCCGTGCCTCATTTGGCCTGTCCACCATAGCAAGAAAGTTGCATGACCATCAGAAGGCCTGCCACACTACTATCGTTCCAGCCACATGAATCCCGACAGGCACAGCTTGACAGTAGAAGAGTTAACGTACCGATTAAGTGAATCTTGGCAGATGGACCACTGCAAAGCTGCTAATCCATGAAGTTCGCTCTGCAAAATGAATGTTTGGAGTACATAAAGGTCTCGTGAACTATCTCCCCCGCAAATATTAAGTTTACGAGCAACTGAAAAGTGAAAACTTACCTGGAAAGGTAGTTTATCCATAACGGTTTGATAGTAAGTTAGTGCGTCATTGAGCTTCCCTGAGTCCATCAAAGAGTCGCCATCCTTCAAGGTCTGAAGCAAAGGAATGGCAGAAGAAAGACGCAATTACGTGTTCGTTGTTGCCTTCGTGTAATAAGAATACCCACTCAAGGGAATTGAAAGATCAAATCTTTAATAGCAAATATAACAACCCAACGTACCTTGTCGCACTCCGATTTCAACTTTGGATCGATATTTAAACCAACTTTCTTGCGGTAAGCTGCAACCATTTGCCTCGTGCGTGCATCTTTACTAGCTCTTTCCTCTTCTGTTTCCAGTACATCCCCAGGGCGAATAGTTTTCCCACCACCAAACTGAACACTCAGATTGAGAAGCATCAGTAACAGCTTTCAGGAAAATGAAGCAAATCGTACAGTCCTTTCCCGTAACAATATCTACAGAATGATCAATCATCTTCCAACTTCACCCAAAATGGCCTAAACTAAGTTACACCGGTACTGTATAAACAACATTTGGTTCCATCGGTACCTAGCAATTAGCATGCATGTTCTTGTTTTTGGTCAACAAGATGCTCCCCCACCATGTTATTGTTGAAAAAGGCTAATACCAATTGCAATAAGCATATACCGTTTTCGAAATGTTTCCAGGTCTGGGAAAGACTCCCCATGTAGAAACCTTAGGCTTATAGAGATCTGCGGCACTATCTTCTTGCGCGGGCTGAGGATTCGTTTGTTTCCTCTCCCGAAAATTGCTGGTATCCCCAACAATGATCTCCACGTCTGGCAAGTCCCCTGCCGGATAAGGATCCACTGTAGGAACCAGTCCAGCCGGCAGCCCTTTTCCCCTTTTCCTTTCCCCAAAATCAAGTCCCACGAAATCAAGCTTTGAAACTGATAGCCTCCCTTGGCTGCTCTCACCTCCATCCATCAATTTACTTCCTGGATCCCGCCCATTTCTCGCCTTCATCACTCCTACGGGAAGTTCAGAGCTTTCACTGTCAATTAAACCTCAACAATCAAAAAGCTCGTTGCAGCATTTCATCAGTAACTTGGCGCGCAATAACCGCAGTACCTGGATTTGACTCAAGTTTCACATCGCTGCCAACAGCTCCTTTATTCTTCTTGTACACTTTGGCTTTCTCCAGAGCAGCCTTAACAGGATCTGGTACTTCTGCCTTCTCCTCGTTAGGACCCTCAATCGGGTCCTCAATTTTCACATTCTGAGCCGCCGCCATGGTAGCAGATTTCTTATACCCTTCAGCTTTCTCAAAAGCCAGCTTCACAGGGCCGATGACTGCAGGTTTCTGATGGAATTCTGAAGAAGTGGGTTCATCAGATGATTCAGCATTATTGAGAGGGGTAGCGTGAAGTGAGTGTCTGAAGGGGGAGAATTTGGACGGGAAGACGGCGACGGAAGGTTTGATGGAGAGAGGTGGAAGATGATGAGGTGAAGAAGGTGTGAGCCAAGAGCGTTGAAGCTGAAGGTGCAGTAGATTGGCCATTTTTGGATTTGTTTGGAGTGGAAGGAGAGGAGGCAAAGATACACTTAGGCTAACCACAACCAGGGGCAGAAATCGGGGTGAAAACTGAAAAGTCTATTATCAGCCGTACATTTGAATGGGTTGTTTCCTCGGTTAAACTTATTTCAGTTAGAATAACTTGTTAGTTGTTTGACGTCATACGGAGGAGATGGTTATTTGTAGGTGTAGGCACCGAGTTGACACAAACCTCACTGTATATTATTTGTACCGCACAGTAGGAATATCAAATTACCCACTCATGGGTAATTATACCCAAACCCAAGTAGACCCATTGATAATGTGTTGGGTATGAGTGAAGTGCATATGGATTTGAGGGTTTATAGATGGGTTTGAGTTTGGGGCTTCCATAATCTAAATGGGTATGGGTTAGATATGGATATCCATTTACTTGAGGGTGTTTTAACTACACATGCAAAAATTGGGCCTATTTGCAAAACTTGAAAAGTTTAGGTACCAAAATGTAAGACCGAAAAAATTTAGGTACCAAAACGTAATTTTCCATCGATATTTTGAGGACTTATATGCAAAAAAACTTAAACCCAACTCAACCCAAAGTAAATGGGTATGGGTACAAACCCATCAAACTCTACCCATATCCATCTATTTGGATTTCATACCCAACCCAATTGGGTTGGATAGTAAGAAACCCATGGGTATGGGCAAAGTTGCCATCCCTACCGCACAGGCATATTAGTTCGCAATGTAATCGATGCGGTCAAAACAAATCGCGTAAATAAGCGATTTGGTGCTATTCAAACCGCATTGCATATTCGACCGCAATTAATTGATTAATTAATTAACAGTGCAAGTTTATTTTACTGTTCCTTACGATATTATCGCAAGGCAATGAAGGATTAATTATAGGGAGTTGCTAAAGGTCGCCCTTAAAATTGCTAAATGTCGCCCTAAAAAACATCAAAGTTACAAATTTAACCTTTTAGCTTCTTTACTCTTCCTTTAGCAAACAAACACCACTTAGTAAAGAAAATAAAACATTATTCAAAAGAGAGAATCCATCATCGTCATTCTGGAGTTGGAATCGTCGATATGATATCTGGATCATGACTAGCTACTCTGAATCGGTAAAGTTCACTAAAAAAATTGGAAAAAAAAACAAAAAAAAGGGAATCATAGCTCATTTGCGGTTGCACCATGGGCCAACCGCAGCTCACTTGCGGTTGGTCCATGGTGCAACCGCAAATGAGCTGCGGTTGGTCCATGATGCAACCGCAGCTCACTTGCGGTTCCACCATGGGCCAACCGCAGCTCACTTGCGGTTGCACCATGGACCAACCGCAAGTGAGTTGCGGTTGCACCATGGACCAACCGTAACTTGCCTTAGGTTGAGCGTTTTTTTGGAAATTTCGTTAGAGAATGGGCGACGCCGACGGTGGGAAAGACGTCGACGAACTGGTGCGTCGAGAGGGATTCGCGAAGAAGGCAGATGAGGGGTTCAGTTTGAGGGGTTAGGGATTGTTTGGTTTGTTTAAATTTTGAAATTTTATTAGGGGTATATAAGTCATTTATCATTAGAGTTAGGGCGACCGTTAGCAATTTTAAGGGCGACATTTAGCGATTCAGTAATTATAGGTGGGTGGTAAGTTTCCCAATCCCCACGGCTGCTCAATAGGGTTATTTAGAACACTGTTCATGCAAAGGGTTAATCCCATGTAATGAGGTTCACAGTAAATTTCAAAGAGTTTATTAATTAATTGTTTCAGTTCATTCCAACTACCAAAATCCACATGCTAAGGGTTAATTAATTGTTTAGGTTCATTCCAAGTACCAAAATCTACGGTTAGGTTTTTAATAATAGTTTCAAAGGGTTAACAAATTAATTGTTTGGGTTGGTACCAACAACCACAATTAGGTTTTCTATATATATGAAAGCATAAGTTAGGAGATAATGTTACCTTTTTTTTTAGCAGGGTGTTGTTCACATTGTGTTTTTATCCTCTATACCAAATTTTAACGAGTGCTGTTCATATTGAGTTTTTATCCTCTATACTAAATTTTATGAAGATATTCTCCCCGATAGTGTTTTTATCGTCACTGTTGACCATCTCACCCTTTTGCATTACACAAAATTTCCTTAAGATCAGTTAACTTTTACATAATGGTTTAATCAAATGTGATGCTTTTCATAATTTTTACATAAAACTTAAGGAGTGATATTTTTTCCCATTTTTGTTGTTAAACAAACATATTACATAAGTCTTCCGTGATAATTAAGATACTACATAAATATAATGCAAAAAATTATTTATATGTCAAAAGTGTTGATCATTTCACCCTTTTTCATTACACAAAAGTTCCTTAAGGTCGGTTAACTTTTACATAATTATTTAATCAAATGTGGTAATTTCATAACTTAATTTCTTTTCTATTAGACCACATTTTAAGGAAGATTTACGTAAACATTATATAATAATTAGTTAAATTATAAAATACATTATCTAAAACTTATGAGAATAGTTATTTCTTTATGTATTGATGAAATAAAACTCATTATGTAAGTCTTTCATAATAATTAAAAAACTACGTAAAACTTATGGAGGGATAGTCATTTCTTAAGTATCAATTAAAGAAACATTTTTTTTCATTTGTTATTGGTCTGAAGATTCGAACCTAAAGTGTGGTGGATTTTATTATCCCTTAGGTCAACCCCTTGGGTTTAATTAAACATATATATTACGCAAGTCTTCCATAATTTAAGTTTTTGTAACATATGTTTGAATTAATATTCATTTATTATTAAGTAAACTGCTCACCATCAATTTGAATTGTATAAATATTTTTTTAATTCAGTAATTTTTTACATAACAGTTTAATCAAGTATAAAACTTTTCATAACTTATTTGTTTTATAATTAGCTAAGTTTAATTAATTATTAAATACACTAATAATCATCTCATCAGCTAGCATTATGCTAATGTATCATAAGGTAGGTTAACTTTCATATAATAGTTTAATTATTTATGATACTTTTCATCATTTGATTTGTTATTAGATCACAAATTACGGAAGATATACATAACAACATTCTATAATAATAATGTTAATTAAAAATACATCATGTAAGACTATGGAGGGATAACAACCTATTACGTAAGTATTTTTTAATGATTAATACACGAAGCAAAGTTTATGAAGGTATCTTACCCAAACAATTTTATGAATTATTTGATTATATTTAATCATTAAATAATTAGATAAGATTTAAATATAATTAATTTCTTACCGCGGTGAAACGCGAGCAAAAAAACTAGTATAATATAAACTATGCATAATTAAATTGACAAGTTTGAATTCACTTTCTACACTCATACAATATAATTGTAGGAAAAAATAAATATTTAAGATCCTACCTGGTAATGACTAATCATATATATAAATCACGTTAGTTATGTTTCTAATGATTTTAGCCACTTGAAATAATTAAGAATAATCAATTTTATAGGTAACCTTTTATAATAATGAGATCAATTTATTAATTAACAATAAAAGAGACATTATGTTCAAACAGATGCTAATCAAAATTCCCCAGGCTGCCTAGAGATATACATTTCCATGTTATTGCGCTGTGTCGTCCTTCTTGAAAGTACGAAGGAGCTGCGATTTACACAACCAATAGCAAGGGTGGCGCCAGCAACTGGCAAGTAGATGGTGGAAGTGGTAAGAGCAATCGTTATTGCGGTTTTAACCGCAATCTTGCGGTTTTGGATTAATCTGACCGCTGATCGCTAAAAATTCAGACCGCATATTAGACCGCAAGTCTTATGGTGCGGTTTGGCTAGACCACAAAACAGTTCGGTGCAGTTCGGAGCGGTTTGACCACAGCAATGTCCACCCCTAGTGATTTGAAGGTTGGGTTATAATAACGTGTTCTTTTTTATAAAAACCCGTATGATATTATTATATTAATTCCATAAATTACCTATGTTCAACATGATCTACACCACTTTCGTGGGCCACTAAGTCCCAAAGACCTACAGGGGGTCTCTCAATCTGTACAATTTCATGGACTCAACAAATGTAGAAAGCCATGAGCCACATCATTGCTTCTTCTTGAATTGACTAGCCCGTTCCCACTCTCTTCTATGCCTCTACCGTCGTACTTAGCAAATTCAGAATCAGCTCACAGAGAATACCTAACTCAGTCCTAACAATTTCCTTCTTCTTCAACTTTTCAATTGGAGTTTTGCAGTCGCTCTCAACCACCAGCAGAATCCAACCTCTTGATTGCGCTCCCTTCAACCCATAAAGAACTGCTCGGGCCTCCGCCTTGTAACACCCCGAGTTCAGGTATAGGTTCGATTAAAGTCCGGCTGAAAAGTTTGAAGACGGTTGGAAGCATCAGGATGTTGAAGAAGGCGGAACCGGCTAGAAAACGGGTTGGAATATGACCGTGTTGTCAGACCGTGTTCCATTAAATGATTCGTTTTTTTATCGTGATAAGTTGAACGTACGGGTCGTTTTGGAGGAAATTAGAAATGAAGTGTAACACGATCTAGAACACGCCAGTGTTGCTTGGTCGTGTCACTCGGCCAGTTCTAGCGACGGGGAACTTCAAAGGATGAATGAAACGGGAACGGCGATTAAGGACAACACCCGTCGGAACACGACAGTGTCGAGTGCCCGTGTTTTAATTGATATATATATATATATATATACATATATATATATATATATATATATATGTAACTGTCAGTATTCTGCCCATTCAATTCACGTCATAATCCCCAAAAAACCCACCCAAGCGCGCTGAACGAGCAGAAGACGAAGGAGAGGAAGGAAAGGAGGAAGGAAGGAATTGGCGGATAGCTCCTCCGTTATCGGGGTAGCCGAACTACTGATAAACTCCTCCCGATCTCGTTGTTCTCCTCGACTATCTGGACGTTCAATCATCTGAGGAAGGTAAGAATATTCACCTCTAGTCGTTCTACGTCCAATTGGCCGATAGTATTAACCATGGATTGTTATTCATGAATGGCGGTAAAGCATTTCGGGGAGTTGATCGAGTCTATTCGAAGGAGTCCACGTTAAAAATTGACCCATCTGAGTTTAAGCACGCTCTGTAAGTAAGGAAAAGTGATTCCCTTTAGATTAAATTGAGTTTTGTGTGAGTTTTCGTGAAATTGCACATCTGGGAAATTAGTGAC